CAGTGCCTCAACTGTCACCATTAGCTACGATCTGCTGGGAGTGGCTCCTATTATAAATGTGTACAGGTCAGCAAGGCAGTGACCCTGGGGACACAGGAGGGCAAGTTAGGGTGGAGGAATAAAAGGGGTGGGGGGCATTTTAGGAGTGTGACAGAGGGAGGCCCCCAGAGAGGGAAGGGAAGCGGGTGGGAACTATTAGGCAAACTCTATAAAGTTGATTCAGGCTTGCACCTTAGAACCCGGGGCTGCCAAAGCTCAGGGCCACCCATCCCTCTTGCTGACTCTTAAGGTGGAGATGAAGGGGGCCATCCACGGTCACTTGTGATTCAGGGACAAAAGCAGGGCCCACCTCAGATTTCACAAGCTTTGCCCAGGTTTCCACCCTYAGCCCCATATCTCCAGCCTGTCTCTGCTTTTCCTGGGGACTCTTAGGACCTTTATCCTCATCTCCCTACCCCAACAACAAGAACTGCCACTGGACCCCAGGGCCTTGCTCCTGGTTGGTAGGTCAGGGGGGTGCCTTGGTCTGAAGTAGCAGTGGGCAGAGAAAACAGGTCTAGTGGCTCAGCCTGCAGAGCTTGTAGGGGGGGYGGGAATCCCATTTTCTGAGGAGAAAAGACTCCTAAACCACTCAGCCACCCAAGGTCCCAGGGCTGACCCAAGCGGCCTGGTTCCCTCACTTCCTTGGGACTCCTTGCAGCTCCAGGAGCGGCCCAAGCTGAGCTGTCCTTGCTGTGGCTGGTGCTGGTTCTGGGCTCTGTTGCCACAGGGGAGGCACCTGGTGTGGGCAGCCACCAGCCGGCTGTGCCCGGGAGGAGGGTGGTTGGGGTCCAGGCCAACTCTCCCTTCTCCCTGGGGAGGGACACAGAAAGACGCCCAGCTCTTGGTACCTGGGCTGTGGGCATCCTGCTTACTCCCCTCTGCTTGGACTCCAGGTTTCCAGGGGAGAGGAGGGGGCGCCACACGGGGAGACTGGAGATGGCCTGGCCAGAGCTGGGGCTAGGAATGCGGAGGCCTGGGGCTTGGCTGGACTGTCTCGAAGGCTGGTGTCTTCCCACCTGGGCCTCAGTTTTCCTGTGTGTACAGCAGTGCATTTGAGAGCCCTGGGCTCTCCGCACCTGTCCTGGGGCCTGTGGTGCTGACTGGTATGCCCAGCTGGGCTGTCCCCACCTTAGAGTACTTCCCAATTCTGTCATCCCTTTGTCTCCTTCTTCTCATCTCAGAGGCACTGYGGCCCCCAATTCTGATAAGCACCCCTAAGCCCCTCCACCTCTGAAGAATCAAGGCCCTGCTCAGAGCCCCTCCCTCCTCAGCCCTGCCCCATCCCTTCCGGCCCACCCTTGCTGCCTCTTTTTGTTGACCAGGCTGGGGCCCTCTCAGCTGGCCATTCTCCCTGGCATGCTGGTTGGGAACWGTGACACCTGGGTTCTGGTGTCAACTCTGCCACATGCTGTGTACCTTGAGCCAGAAACTAACCCTCTCTGGACTTTTAGTGGGGCTGGAGGGTCACCCAGTCTCCTCCAGTATTCACCCTTGATCATATTCAGGTGCACTGTTTGGGGGAGTTCACCAGGACTGGGGCTCTGTGCCTGACTCCAGCTTCCTGACAGGTCCTCCCTAGTCATGATATCAGGGTAGGAAACCCCTATACCTCTGAGCCAAAGTGCCAGCCTTTCCCTACTTCATCTAATTCCTAGAGCAAGGGAGGAACATTTTGTAATCAAAATACAATAGACCTGCTGAAATTTTGAAAATGGATAGAAGACTGTTCTATTCTGTGCTTAGTGTAAAAAACACACAATTTCATAAAGATAGAAAAGAAAAACAAAAATGAACACACTTAAAAAAAAAGAATTTCCCCCTCTCTTGCTATTTTTTGGAAGTTGAGTCTCCTGATGGTGCCTCCCCAGCGCCCCGCCCTCTTCCTCCTCTGCTTTCCATCCTTTATGTGGCTCAGGATCCTAGAGAGAATCACTGTCCCTCTGTAAGGAGAAATAACCACGACCTGATGGACAGTGACGATGCGGTTCAGCACCTTGGTCAGTACCCACCTCCTCTCCCACCTTCCCACTCCCTCCTCAACCCCCACTTTCCAGCACTTCCAGCTAGTCTCCTGGGGTGAGCTCCAGGAGCGGCCCAAGCTGTGGGGCGGTGGATAGAGCCGAGAGCTAGACAGGTGGGGGGGAAGCCAGGGGTGCTGCCAAGCAGTCAGCCTCAGAGAATGGCTCCCTGGCAGGAGGGAAGGCCTGTCCCCAGAACCCTGGAGGAGAACTTGTGCCACCAAGAGACTCATCTCTGTTGTTTTCTGTCTCTGCTGCACCACAGAGAGGAGGACTCAGAGATAATGGCCTTATTAGGCACTGAGCAGGGCAAGTTAGAGGACCCAACATTAAGAAACTGGATTCTGGACCATCAGTGCTAGGACCCTGGCAATCAACGACTAGATCCTACCCTGTCCTTAGTAGGCATGGGGAAACTGAGGCCCAGCAGGAGAGGGTCTTGCTTGCAGTCACACAGGGTCTTCCTGAGTCCACCCCTGAACCAAGGAGTCATAAGACACTTTGCTGGTCATTGAGACTTGACTCACGATTGCACAACCCCATGAGGGCTGGTTTAAGCTCACTTTGAAGCTTAGGGGATTCCGGATCTGGTGGCCGCTGCCTGTTGCTGAAGCAGTCCTCAAAGCTGAAGAGCATTTCAGGAGAGGTCCAGGGAGCAGTTTGGCTTTAGCTTTGGATGGACCTGGTTTGATTTCCTGCTCTGCTCAGTAATAGCTGCCGGTCCCCTGAGAAGCAGTGCTTCCTTGCTCAAACCCCCAGATAATGACACTAACCCCATGGGCTTGTCTCAATGGTTGAAGTGTAAAATGTACCAGCACTTTGCTTGCTAACTACATATAGGGGACTCAGAGGGGGTTGCTGCCAATCAGTCAAGCCTTTCCTGCCCTGGATGAGATCCATGCTGATCCTCCTCCAGCCAGGGTTCGGCTGCCTCTGCCATCCTCTTAATTGCCTTCAACGTGGATGAGGTTCCTGGTATCAGCCTGATAACTCCCATTTTTCATTCGGTAATTCTCTGGACACTAGTGCAATCCTATCTCTTGGTGGCACCCTAATTGCCTGGAGTCCCCAGGTGGCCAGGCAGACAAGGTCCCTACAGTTACCCTATTGGAAACAGTGAAGGCTGGGAGTGGCCAGCACTTCTTGGACCTGGTGCTGAGCTGAGGGGGAAGTGCAGGAATGGCCCTGGAGGGGATGTTCCTGCCCCAAGGGAKAAGACAGAGCAGACATCCATGGAGGGAAAAGACAAGGGCATAATGGAAGGGTCTGGGGGGGGGAGCCACAGGGATTTGAAAGGTTGGGGTGTCTTGTGGATACTCTAGTCTTTAAATCACCTCCCCCACCCCACACACACATATAGCTGCAAACTGAGCTGCTCTCCAGGGACTAATCAGGGGCCCTCCATCTACCCTGCTGTTGCTCCTCATTTGCAGCCCCTCCCTACAATTATAGTCAGGATCTGGGGGGGGTATGGGAGACCAACCTTGCAAGTGACTGAGTCACACTCCCCGTCTGGGTGCTGAGGTGCTCAGTCGCAGAAATGTGGSAGAGCTTTCCCCACCCTTCTTGGGTTCGAGGGTCGGTGTCTCGTGCATGGGTGTGTCTTCCTAYAGCCCCATGGGTGAAGCTATGCTCACCTGTTCCTTTGTAATATAACCCCTTGCCCTGTTTACAATAGAATCTTCCATGGAAGTGCCTTGTGTGTGTCCCCTTCTCTTACTGTGCCCTTGGGTGTGGCCTACCCAGGTGTCAGTCAACCTGCTGACAGTGGACATCATGAAAATAGACTCACCCCCTGAAACCTGACCCCTTGCCTCATTTGAATAGCTTCTCCTCAATAAAAGGGGTCAGCACGTGCTCTCGCTCTCTCTTCCCGTGGAGCCTTAAGGTCAGAGGAGCTGTCACAGCGACCCCAAAGAAAAAGGTATTTGTGTCTCTTGTGTGGTTATTTTGCACAGCCCAGTCAGCCCAATTTTACTGGAGTGACCCCTGAGCCTTTTAGTCACGAGAACAGAAACCTGGCGGGGGGGGGGGGGKTCCCTCTAGGCCACAGATGAGATCTACCCAGTGCCTCAGAGCACTGCAGGTGAGGAGGTGGAAGAATGGACCGTGACAAGCCAAGGCTGGGCCAAGGACTCTGGTCCCAAGGACATTGCATTACAAATACAGAGGGGTGGGGGTCTTGCTGCTGCCAGCATGCACAGCCTGTGCCCATGTGCGGGACCCTGGCTCCTGGCCAGGCTGCGTCCCCATCAGTCAGAGGTGGGATGGAGCCTTTTCTACATACCAGACCTGGGGACTCTGYTGGACCCCATGGTCCCACGCTCCTCACAGGGCACAAGGAGGAAGAGGGACTTCTCAGGGTCAGAGCCAGTACAGAGGTTCAGGAAACCCATAAGCTCCAGACACTGACTCTTCCTCAAGTGCACTGTCTTTATAGCTTACCAATAAATCATGTGAGGTTGGTGTTATGATTCCCATTTTCCCTGTGGGGTAAGTAAGACCCAGAGAATTTAAGTCATTTTTCTAAAGTCACACAGTGATGGAGCCTGAACTTGAGGCCAAGTCTTTGTAGTTCCAGAGATCAGACTTGCCACTGTCTTGTGAGCYCTGCCTACTCCCAAGGATATCCCTGCTGTCCCAGGCAAAGACTGATCGTCCTTGGCTGGTGACAGAGTTGTGGTGTATTGGCCTAGAACTCAGGTCTTTCCAGTGTGGACTCTAGGACACTTGGCAGTCACACCCTCTCCCTTGAACTTGCTTTGCCTTCTCTGAAGAATGAGCAGAATGCCATCTACCTGGCAGGGCCTGGATTGGCCATTCTAACATACCCTTACTCCCTGGGATGGGACAAGTGGGTCTTTATGTTTGTCAGAATGAATGGAACTGACCACTGGCGTCCTGTAACTTTAATTTAATACAAATTTATCATAACTCACAAATGGGAAACATTTTTAAATAAAAATACTGCTGGGGGAGGCCCAGACTCTGGAGTTGAGGGGTTGGGCAGGGCTGAGGTTTACTCTTGCTCAGGGAAGGCCTGAGTGCATGGCCGTTGGGAGTGGGAGCCCCTCAAGTTTGGCTCTTCTGGCTCCTTTCTGATAGGTGTGCTGAGACCCCAAGTACAGAGTTGACGCCTCAGGACTAGAAAGAAAGGCCAGGGCTTGTGAGAAATCAGTGCGATCTTGCAGGCACATTCTCAGGTTGCTGCTTTTAGGTAGGGCAGGGCACCTCCGGGCTCTGTTGCTTTGAAGCCAAGGTGGGATGGAGCCTTTTCTACATAGCAGACCTGGGGACTCTCCTGGACCCCATGGTCCCATGCTTAAGGTGAAGTCCTCTTGCAGGAGCGCTTCACGATGGATGCTGTGGCAGAAAATGCAATGGGCTTGCTCAGCTTGCAGGCTAAATTTCTTCTAGTGCCCTTTTTTGCATGGCTGGGGCTGGAAAGAGGGAAACTACATTTCCCAGACTCCCTTGCAGTAAAGGTAGCAAATCCCTTGTAGAAATATGGATTGGGGACCTGAGTTAGTGGAAGAGGCAGGCCTTGGGACATCCATTTGCTGGCATGGACGGTGGCAGAGGGGGCACAGTGCTGCAGTCAGCGGCTTCTGATACAGTGGCTTCCTGCAGGGGGGAACAGCTTCCCTGGTCATGACAGGATGAGTCTGGCAGCTGGGAATTTTTCTTGGAAATTCAGCAAGGACTCTACTGCTCCCTTCTGATGCAAACTCCCAGGGAGCTGGTAATGAATCCTTACCTAATTCAGCCAGCTAAAGTGGCTCTTGTTTCTGCAGCAGGATCCTAAGTGAGATAGATGCCAAGTCTGAAGGGGGTGTGTGTGTCTGAGCTAACAGCTCCTCCCAGTGCTCAGGTCCTGATTAAAATAACTGCTCCCAGCAGCCTTTCTGTACCCTAGCAGGTCACAGAGGCCTGGCCGCAAGGGGTAGCTGGACCAGAGTCCAGAGCTGCTGGGGACCTTTGTCATTCAGTGATGCTTGCTGTCCTGCAGATACCATTAGCTTGTGATCTACCTGGGTCTCCAGGGTGCCCTCATTTTGCCCTCAGATTTTGGGCAGGAAGGTGGTGACATGGTAACTCACATGTGGCCTCAACTACTCAGTGCCTTCCCACAGGCTACAGCATGGTCTCTGCTTTGTATAACAGTTGGGGAAAGTGGAGCCTTACAGCTCTTGGTAGAAGTGGGCGGGGGTTGAGAGGGGGGTTCTGTGACAACCCTAGGACCAGCTACTGCCTGTGTCCTTGGTGGGCTGGGGTCAAGGGTAAAATGACCATCACTAGCTTGGTCAGGGGCAAGACTTAGGCCATGAGACTTGAGGATTCTGTGTCTTTCAGGCTGCCAACTCCTGACCACATCTGACACATCCCAAGGCCAGGCAGCTGGGCAGGAGGAGACACAGGGAGGTAGTGCCCTTTCCCTGAGGGGCTGGGGATAAGGGCTGGGTGGGGACTGCCTTGAGGAGAAGCYATGTCACATCCTCATCAAGGTCAGAGCTTACAGAACTTTAATGCTTCAAGAGAGCTTAGGACTCGTGGAGCACGACCTCCGTGTCACACACAGGGCAACGGAGGCCCCAGGGCGAACAAGTGGCCTGAGGTCTGCGGGTGACCAGGCAGAGGCGCCTGGGCCTGGACCTCTGGTGTGCAGGCGGGGCTCCTGCTGGCTGCAGCGGCCTGGAGGCCTGGACTAGATGCGCACCGTGTTGATGCGCAGGGGCTGCACGTTCTTGCCGTTGGCGTGGCTCTGGCCGGGACTGAAGTAGGAGCAGAGCTTGCCGGGGAACTTCTCCCGGAAGGTGTAGAGCCAGGACATGTCGTCKGCATTGTAGAAGATGAGCAAGCCCTGGTCGTAGTCCAGGAAGACGCCCACCTTGTCCAGCTTGTCCCGGACGTTGAGYCGCGTCCAGGGCTCGGTGCAGGCGCTGTACTGGTTGCCGTCGTGCATGACGATGCAGTAGAAACCGCGGCTYGGCTGGATCTGGATGCTGCCCTTGCGGCTGGCGGCCTCGTGCGCCAGCCCAATCACCCACTGGGTCTTCTCTGCCACCACCACTTCCCAATAGTGGACGCCACTGCTGAAGGCCTCAGAGCCCAGCACCGACACCTCCACGTCAAAGCGCTTTGGTGAGTCCTGCAGGGGCTGTGGGTGCAGGTTCCCGTAGGCCACGATGGTGCAGTCATCAGACAGGATCAGGCGCTGGTGGGCAGTGCCAGGGTCTAGGGTCAGGGCAGCTGGCACTGTGAGGGATGAAAAGAGGGAGAGGTCAGCAGAGAGAAGGCTGTGGACCCACTGTGCGGTGTCTCCCTGCATACAGGATTCTGGGGGGCCCCCAGGAGGCCATTGATCTGCTGTGTGACTTCGAAATAAAAGCTTGTCTTCTCTGGGCCTCATCTTCCTTCTCTGTAAAAAGTAAGGGTAATGGCTAAGGTCCTTCCAGATTTACACTAAGCCTCAAGAGATCAGGGGCCATAGCTGCTTGGTCACTGCCTGATGCCCAGGGCAAGGCAGGTAGTGAGCACTCCACAAATATTTGTAGAATTAACGAGAATGAGGTCCAGAATTTCAGAGCTGCCAGGGAGGTTGGTTAAAGATTTTTCAGGTGCTACTGCCCCCTAGAGGGTAATGTGGGAATTTGTGAGGGTGTTTGGGTTGTCTCTGATAAGAGGGATCCAGGGACCACAGAATGAAATGACCCAGACAATCCATCACATCCCCCCACCAGGGATTTTCAAATGTCCCACCACACCTTCATGTGGATGAAGTATTCTTTATAATGATATGAAACTACAAACTCCACTTCATGTATAAACATGAATTTTTTTTTTTTTTTTTTTTTTTTGCGTACTATACATACACTGTATATTTTGGAATACAATTACCAAACTCAGGGAAAACTGACTTTTCTTTCTTTCTTTCTTTTTTTTGTAAGGGAGATTGAACCCAGGAGTGCTTTAACCCCTGAGCCACATCCTCAGCCCTTTTTATATTTTATTTAGAGACAAGGCCTCGATAAATTGCTGAGGCTGGCTTTGAACTCACAATCCTCTTGCCTTAGCCTCCAGAGCTGCTATAGGCATGTGCCTGGCTGATTTTTTTCTTTTTTATTGAACCCAAGGGGCCCTACTGCTGAGCTACACCCACAGCCCTTTTTTATTTTTAGATGGGGTCTCACTAAATTGTCAAAGTGGCTTCGAACTTCAGATCCTACTTTAGTCTCCCAAGTAGCTGGGATTACAGGTGTGTGCCACTGCACCTGGCTACATTTTGTTTGTTTGTTTGGGACTTAACTAAGAATTGTTCGCTTTTCTGGAAAATACATCTCTAAGGGCAAGACCACTGATAAAAATCTGTCTATATAGGACTGCATTTGAAGCAGAAGGTGTTTTACCTATAAAGTGAGCACTGGAATACTTATGTTTTCTAATGTGGTTCTGAGTGAACTTCTACACGTTGACATATAAAATATTTTATTATAAATAATTTCCTTCTATTTTCCATTATGTGAGTGTATGTGTATAAATATGTGTATGTATAGTGTGCATATGTGGACACATACATGTATTCTTGAAATGGTGATGAGATTATATGATCTTTGTAACATTACAAATTATTTAATATGAAAAGTAGAAAATGTGCTGAAAAAGTAAAAAATCTCTAGTTCTAAGCCAATTCTTCCATTTGACAGGGGGAAACCTGAGACCCAGAGAGGAGTCAGGACTCTTCTCAGGTCAGCAGATACTGGCGGAGCTAGGACTGAGCAATGCCAGCCCAGTCCGGCCCAGCCCTCCCCGCTGCCCATCTCTCACCCTGCCCCACCTCACTCAGGCCCAAAGCCTTTGCCCCACAGTTCCCTCCCCTGCCTCCTCTTTGCTGGCATGACCAGGTTCAGGGGGCTCCTCTCTAAGGGCCTGTCCTTGGGCTCTTCCTGGTGGCTGGGAGTTGTGCTCCCCTGCCTCTGAAATTCTTGAGCCATGTCCACGGCCCAGGAGGGTAAGGACTGGATCCTCCTGACCTCGGCCCTCCCCTGTGTGCCCAGGGCTCAGCACAGGACCTGGCACAAGCCAGGCTTCTGGAAATGCTCACCAAACCAGGTTGACCCTGTTTTTGTTGGGCAGGTGGTGCAGGCTGGGTCACCTGCCTGTGGGCTGGCCATACCGGCTTAGCAGGTCTCATCTCAAGTCTCAAGAACTCTTGTCAAGACCTCTGTTGACTCTGTCTCCCCAGGGAGCTGATCAACAAGCCAGAAGGAGAGGGGAACCTGGGACCTGCTCCCCTTAGGTCCCATGGCCATTTCCAGGTCAGAGCAAGAGAGAGGAGAGGACATGCGGGAGGAKGGGATCCTGCCACATGTTCCACAGAGTGAAGGACTTCACCATCCACGTCCCTCTGGCCTTCCTTATCTGGTGGAGCAGGGACAGGATGACATGGCTGGCACACTACCCCCTAATTCTGCTGCCTCTGTGGGCTGCGCACACACAGAGAAGTAAAATGGCTCATTGATGGTGACTGTCCTTGTTGGGAGTAATGCCCATCCCTGAACCACTAACAAGCCGACCACAGCCTGCAGCAAGCTCCTGCCACCATCTCTGTCAGGAATAAACTCAGCTTTGCACTTTCCTTTCTTCTCTCCTACTTTTGGGAACCTGAGGGCTCTATGCAAACAGTGAGCTCTGTGAACAGAGGGGTCAAAAAAAAAAAAAATCTCCATCCAGGAGGAATGAGGAGGAGGAATGAGGAGGAATGATGGAGGAAGAGGAGCCAGGAGATGAAAGGCACTGGCTGTCATCAGATGAAGGCTTTGCCCACAGTCTGACTGGTCCCAGGGCAGCTGGTCAGAGCTAGAAGTCTCCTGCCCCTTGGAGTGTGGGCAATTCCCATAGAGGGGTGTGGAGGGAGGAGGTGGAGGAGTGTGTGGGTGGAGGGGGGCCAGGGAGCCAAGAACTTAATCAGATGCAGATGGGGTCACTCCTACGGGCAGAGGGGTGTCTGTGCAGAGGGGTGGGGGGGGAGCGAGTCCCTGCCTGGGAGACRGTGGCCACAGCTCTGAGTGCCCTGGAGAACGTGGCCCTCCTATTTGAGGCGTTTGGGATGATGGACCAGCAACAGCTAGAAAGGAGAGCTTGGAGCAGAAAGACCTGAGTGTGGGGGGAATGGCAGGCAGGCCTGGGAAGAGCTTCAGACTCTCAAGCCTCCAGGGCCACATGGGCCACTCACTTCTGAGCCACGGGGAAGGGCTCCCAGGGCTCCCGGAGGTTCTGGGAAGGTGAACAGAGAGGCGCCTGCAGGGCAGAGGAAATCCTGATCCCCACCTCCAGTCCTGCAGGTGGAGGAGGGCAGGGCTGCCACTCTTTGGGTAGGACCCAGGCGAGGCCTGGCTTCTCCTTAGGGAGAGGTGCTTGGATCCYAGGGAGGCTTTTCCAGTCCCAAGGGCAAGGCCAGAGGGGGCATGGCAACACCTTCTCCCCCACTGGGAAGTCAGTCTCTGCCTGTGGGACTTCATCCCTCCTTGACCCTCGGGAGAGGTGACAGATCCTACAAAGGCAGTCCTCTGGGCTCACTATCTTACAGGTCGGGGCTCATTTCTAGGTCGTGGGACTCTGAACCTGTAAACACAGAGAGCTGAGCATGCGTCTTTGGTCCTCGAAGCCTCTCTGAGACCTCCAAGTCAAATGGCATTTGGGACTATGGARGCCCCAGGAAATATGTCCTGGCCTCTGGTCGCCTACCACAAAGAAAGCCCTCCCGAGGCACGGCGTGACACCACCACTGGGCAGCTTGGCAGCCCCATGGCTTGTTTCTTTGTTCTCAAGGACAGCGGGGCCAGCTGCACAGGCCTGACAGGACAGGAAATACGTCAGCTCTTTTCTGCAGCCAGGCATTTAAAACCAGGCCTCAGGTCCCCGAGTCCTCCCACCTACTCAGCCTGCAGCTGCCTGGGCGGGCACCACAGAACATCTGCATACCTAGGAGCACAAACTACTATACCCCCATTTTCCAGAAGAGAAAACTGAGGCTCTTCGAGTGAGTTAAGCGATTTGCTGAGGTTGCCACCTGGGGTGAAGCAGCGTTAGAACGTGAGCTGACGTCTTTTCACATCATGTTCTTTCCTTCATGTGGCTCCAGAAAGCCTGTTCAGCAGGACCGAGGAACCATGAGAGGGCYAAGTACTTACCAAGTTATAGGATTATTGTCCCCAATTTTAATTTAATTCTCATGTGTAACCTGGGAAGCCAATGGGACTTTCCCTGTTGTATAGGTGAGGAACTAAGGCTCAGATGGGGATGCCCTGCCTTCCCTGGTCAGGCAGCCAAACACTGGGACTCAAAATGACTGGTTCAGCTGAGCAGGAGGTGGGGAGAGGGCTGCCYGGGGGTGGGGTGGGAGTGGGGAGGCAGCAGGAGGGAGAGGAGCAGTGTCTGGTTCCTTGGGACAATAGGTGGCCTGGCCCTGTGGGGAGCAGGCCAGGTAGGGGAGGGCAGAGAGGGGAGGGCTTCCTGGTGTGAGGCCAGGGGTGGGTGGGGGTGGGGGGAGCTCGGGCAGGGGCCTGACAGGTGGTAGATGGGTTCTCCAGTGACCCAATGGGAAGCCAGGCCATAGGGGAGGGGCAGGCAGGAAGCTGCTAGAACTTGTGGGCTAGGTCCCTAGGGGCACCGCTCCATTTGGACATAAAGGGCTCTGGTGCTGGCAGAGGAGCCAGAGTGACTTCACAGGCCTCACAGACAAAGGAAGGGGCCCAGCCAACAGGATCACTGCTCTCTGAAGTCCCGGGGCCTCTGCTCCCGGTGGGATGTTTGGGGCACACAGCTGCTGCCTMAGCTTGACTGCAGGCACTGTTCGGCGGGGGCAGTTTTGCTTCCCAAGGGACATTAAGTCACGTCCAGAGATACCTTGGGTTGTTAAGACGGGGGTGGGGCTACAGCATTTAGTGGCTAGAGGCCAGGGACGCTGCTAAGCATCCTGCTGTGCCCAGGACTGTGCCCCCAAGGCCTAAAGTCAGTGGCACTGAAGGTGGAAAAACCCTGCAAAGCAATTCTCCACGTGAAGAAGCCCAGAAGGAATACTGTCATTCAGAAGGGGAAGCTAAGGCTCAGGGGAGGAAGGGACTTGTCTTATACTGTACAGTGAGTTCCTTCTCTCAGCGGTTTACTGAGCACCTATTATAGACTCAGCACCATTCTGGAAGCAGAAGTGGACTTCTGCTTCATTGTCTTCTTCATTCATCAACACATACTGACTGTGCTGGCTGCTGGGGATGAATCAACCCTGGGCCCTGAGCCCTCAGAGCTCACAATCTGGAGAGAGACAGCCACACAATGGTGGCCAAACAGTGGGACCAGGAAAGCTTAATAAGCAGGGCTCTGTGGAGAAATCCAGGAAGGCTTCTCAGCACAGGTGTTTAAGACACGAAGGAAAAGCAGGAGTTGGCCGTAAGGACTGAGGATGGTGCGTGAGGCTCTAAAGAGCGTGAGGAGGGAGAACAGGGCTCACTTCAGACCTGAAGGGGGTTCAGTGGGATATGGATGGGAGGATGAGGGGGCTCTTGAATGGCAGGAGGAGAGGCCCAGCCTGCCTCTCGGGGCTGACAGGGATACAGCAGGTGGACACTGAGGCTAAGAGCTCTCAGGCCTCCTGCACAAGGGGCTCCCCTGGCCTGCGGCTCAGGACAACAGCGGCTGGGATTCCTGCCTCCCTCCAGTGGCCCTCAATCTCCTGGTCCCTGTGKGGGGCTCCCCAGGGGTGGGAGCATGCTGTGGCCTCTATGCCAAGAGGGCAGCCCAGAACGCCTACCCAGGCTGCTAGGAAGTGGACCCTTCCTCCAGCTGTTGCCTCCTTTCCCACGGAGAGCAGAGAACCGGCTCTGAGCCTGCGTCACTCCCAGGAGGTCAGTAAGGACATATCAGGCGAGGCCTTCAGTCACCTGCAGGGAGCCTGGCTCTGTGGTCCAGCACCCTCTCAGTGACTGTCCTAGCGCTTCTCCATCCCTCAGGGACTGAACTGTGATTGCCCTGGGGTCGTTCATGCCCCTGCGCACCCCTACTCCTTAGCCTTCAGCACTCAGCTCAAACAGCATCTGTTGCCCAGCCTCCCGCCAACTCCACCCACAGCCTCCTGTTGCCCCTTCTGGGTGTCCATGGTACCTGGGAGTCCCCGGTCATAGCCTTGTCCCACTGGACTCTTGAGATCTGGTTGCTTGCCTTTCTCTCCTGACTCCTGAGGCTGTCTTGAAGGATTTTTATTGTTTGTAGAATTAAAAAAATAATCCAGACAGGTGGGAGAACTCTGACTGCCGTGTGACCTTAGAAAGACAGTGAGCCTCTCTGAACCTCAGTCTTCCCAGGTGCAGCTGGTGTATCAGGCTGGAGAATGGCTAGTGAGCTGAGTTGGTAAGGTTACAGGCTCTGGGGTCTGACCTGGGGGTCTAAAGGCTGGCTGTACCTTTTATAGGTTGTGACCATGGACAGGCTTCTAACAGCTTTGTGCCTTAATTTCTTCGTGAAGGTACCTACCTCTTAGGGGGAATTCCCTCCTTTATCTGTATCTCACCTCTCAAGGGCAGGTGCTGACCCAGGCACAATCAGGGGTCCTCACTGCCTGAGGCTTGAATCTGCCCTGTGGTGCAGCTGTGTGGTTTGCGGGAAAGCACTGACCTCCCAGGCCCAGGGTCAGCTCATGCACTAGAAACCTGCTTTCTCCTCTCTCTGCAAACCTCCTACCACCTCCTCCTCATCTCAGCTGACAGCTTCACTTCCCACCTCATTGGGGAGGTGATGCCATCAGAGGATGCTTCCTGCAAGCTCCCACTCTGCTCTGCTGCCCATATTCCACCCTCTCCAGGCTTCTGGAGATAGACTGTGTAGGCTCCTGGCAGAGGCCACCCCTCGGCAAGCAGCAGACCACGCCAGGGACGGTACCAAGGCCATGGCTTCCACAATTCTCTCCCTCTTTTTTGTATTTATTCATTTATTTATTTTTTGGWACTGAGGATTGAACTCAGGGGCGCTTTACTATTGAGCTACATCCCCAGCCCTTTTTATCTTTTTAATTTTGAGACAGGGTCTCCCTAAGTTGCTGAGGCTGGCCTTGAATTTGCAGTCCTCCTGCCTCAGCCTCCTGAGTCACGGGGATTACAGGTGTGCACAGCTTCTGCCTCTTGATTCTGCCTTTCTACTGCCTCTTTGCCATCAACCCATGAGTAGGCTGCTATTCCTTCTATCTTACAAAAATAGCCACTCAACAGTCCCTCTCCCTCCCGTATGTAAAGTTCCTTGAAAGYGTCGTCTCCACCTGCTGTTTGCACTTCTCTCTTGGATGGGCTCCAATCAGGCCTTTGCCCCACTGCGCCACCAAAATAGCTCTCGCCAAGGTCATGGATGATCTCGGTGTGGCTAAACCTGGAGGAGGGTCTGTTTGGGGTTCTCCCATGCTTGGTTCCGCAGCCTCTGCCACTGTGAACCACTCTTCTTCTGGAAACGCTCCCTCTGCCCGGCTGCCAGGACACCCCCAGGCTGCCCTCCTGCCCATCTGACTGCTCCTTCTCGGTCTCCTTGGCTGGGTCTCCTCCTCTCCATGACTTACAGCAACGCCCTCAGGCTCCGATGTTAGAGTGGCCCCCTCTCTCTTTCTCCCTACCCTAACTTTCCAGGCGACCCCATCCGGTCGATTCAATGGTGGCCATAGGCTGATGACACCAGGCCTGGCTTCCTCCTGGACTGAGGACCTGTGGTCTCAATGCCTTTCAAACATCAGCTCAAGGTGTTCAGTGGGCAGCACTGCCAACCTCACATGCTACAGCTCCACGCTTCCAGACACTTGGGCCAAAATCCTGTCCTCTCTGTCTTCCTCCTCTCACACCTGAGGCCAAATTTCAATGGCCCTTCAGAATAGATCCACAATCTGGCTACTTCTCACCCCCTTCCAGTGCCACCATCCTGCTCCAAGTCACCAGCATCTCTCACCTGGGTTATGCAATGGTCTCCCATCCAACTTCCCAGCCTCTGCCCTTTACCACCTTCTGTCGATTCGTAGCCCAATAGCCACAGGGGTTCTTTAAAACTTAAGTAGGCTCAGGTCACTTCACTGTCCCAAACCCTCCAATGGTTCCCTTCTCATTCAACATAGAATTCAAAGTTATAACCCTGGTCTGTGGGCCCTTATGGTCTGGCTACTGCCTCCTTCCTGACCTTTTCTTCACCCTCCCTCTCATTCACTCTACTCCAGCCACACTTGGCTCCTTACTGTTCCTTGAACATGCTAGTCATGCTTCTGCCTCAGGGCCTTTGCACTTGCTGTTCTCACTGCCAGGAGCCCTCTTCCCTCAGATACCCACATGACTCACCCTCCTTCCTTCAGGTCTTTCCTTCCATGCCCTCACCCTTATCTAAAATCTCTCTCCTATCAGCATCTAATGTACCATAGTGCACTATGTGTATTTGTTTTTTGTTTTACTTATTCACTTTTGTTTACTTTCTCATACCCTAGAATGTAAGATCTGTAGGACAGGAATTTTTGCCTGTTTTGCTCACTACTCCACCTCCAGCACCTAGAACAGTGTCTGGTGTGAGAAAGGGGCTTGATATGTACCACGTATATCCAGTGACTTGCTGGAGTGCCAGGGCCTTGGTACACAAGGCCCCCAATTGATGTTTTTTTTTTTTTTTTTTTTTTTTTAAACCTATATTAGTGTGAAAACGATAGGTATTCAGGAGAAATATTTCAAATTCTGACTTTTCCTCTCTTCCCAGGGTTGGTCACGTGTGGTATGACACTCGGGTGTTTCTGGGCAGAGGCACAAACTGGGGGCCGGTTAGTCACATGATCCCAAGGAGAAACAACCAATAATCCTCTTTTGGTGCATTGCTAAGGGGATGCTCTGCAGGTGAGCTGTTAAAGGCATCTTCACCCCAGATGGGTCACTGAGAGGTGACCCTGTCGTTGGTGAAGGAGCACCTGCAGCTCCCCGGGGATGGGACGGCCTCACGGGGTCCTCTGAGGATCCCTCAGGATGAGCAACTGCGCAGTGCCCAGCACAGGTCCTGGGGCACAGCAAGCTCAGGAAGGCACCCTGGGTCCCTCCCTGCCCTGCCCCCAGACTGTGTTTAGGACCTGGGGTCCGGCGGGCTAGGGCCAGGTGCTGCCTGGCTTCAGCCCACCAGAGACCATTCCTACCTGTGCCCCCCACCCGCCTGCCGGCCTCTCAGGGAGGGACAGGGGAACCTCACCTGGGTGGATGTCCTGGAACAGGGACTTCCAGATGGTGTACTGCAGGGGGCCCGTGTACTTGGAGGTCGGGAAGTCTTCGTATGTCAGGTTGGTCTCGTGGATTTTCCCCTTGAGCCTGGAAGGACAGCAGGAGAGAAGGCTGCACAGGGGACTGGGTTCCTGCCCGGTGTTGGGGCCCCATGGCCACCTTCAGGGCAGCTGGCAAAGGGTGAGGTCATGAGTGAGAAGGCTGTGGGACTCAGGTGCAGGTGCCTGCTTGTGCCACTGCCGACCTCTCTAGCTATTACCCTCAGTTTTCTCATCTATAAAATGGGCACTAGCTAGAACCTGCCTTCTAGGATTGTCATGAGGGTTACATGGCACAGTGGACAGAATGCTTAGCACAGTATATGGCTCAGGGCCAATGCCACGGGCATGAGGCTGTGACCAGTGTTGATCCCAATAACTAAGTATTATTACCAAGGGTGGCCTTGAAGCCATAGAAGCCTGGGCTTGAATCCTGGCTCCACCACCTAGCCGACAGATCTTGGCCAATTGATCTGGCTTGTTTATGCCTCAGTTGCCACATGTGTGAAATGGGGACGACAGTGATATGCTATATAACATAAAGAACATAAGATATAATACAGGTACCTACCATGTGATCACAGACATTGCTATTACTTGTACACTAATGGCAGAAAATATTAAACATAGAATAGTCTAGATGCATGGAGCCTTTAGCCCAAGCTCTGGCACACAGTAGGTCTTCCATAAATGATCAATGGAGACGTGCATGATCAAGTTCTCTGCTGACAACCCATCTGTCTCCACCACCGCCGCCTCGCACAGGTGGCACGTACCTCTCAGACAGGGAGGCCACCCCGGCCAGGAAGGTGTGCCGGTCAGTCTCTGCCAGCCGCTCCTGTAGGATCTGGGCCCCCTCCTGCACCTTGCGCAGCTGCTGGCTGTAGCGCTGGACCTTCTGCTCGATGTCGGTCAGCGTGCGGGCCGTGTCCGCCTCCAGCTCCTCCAGCATGGCCTTCTGCCGCTCTCGCAGCAGACGGTGCAGCCGCTCAAAGGCCTCGCCGATGGTGGTCCGCAGGCTCTTGGTGGAAGACTGCGGGGACAGTGGTCACGGGTTATGGCAGCGGGCGCAGATGGGGGGAACCCAGGAGCCTCATTTGCAGAGAGGGAGGGTGGAAAAGGCTGTRCAGGGGGCCTGGCAGGCACCCGAGGATGCCGGTACAGAAGCCCTGGCGTCGCGGGGACAGCAGTTAGTGTGGCCCGTTAGGAAACTAAGGCTGTGGTCCAGGTGAAACAATGAGTTTGTAGCAGGCAGAGAGGGAAGAGGACTCTGCCCAGATATCTGGCATAGAGGCAGGAGGGACAGGGAAGCTGGGGGAGGGAGAGGGGACACTGTGGAATGACGTCTTCAGTCTGGGATACTTTGTCCTTCCTTTTCTCTCTCCCTCCTGTGTTCTGGGGATTGAACCCAGGGCCTCAGGATTGTTAGTAAGCACTCTGGCCCTGAGCTACACCCCCAGCCCTAGTTTTTCTTTATAATGACTCACCTGTGGGGCTCAAGGGAAGAAGAAGAGATCACAGAGGTCAGAGAGCTTCATAAACTGCAAAGTGTGTGGCTGACCTTGGTGGTCACTCCCCTGTTCTGACACCCCCAAGACTCCCCCAGCTAAGGAACAAGAACTACAGTGAGGGTCTCTGCCAGGGCAAGTGAGCATGGACAGGTGGTTCTTGATGCCATGCAGGTATTGCAAGGCCCAAGAGGGCACGGGGCAGTGAAGGGCACTGGGCAGTGAAGGGCACCAGCTTTGGTGCCCCACAGCCTGGGTAAGAGTCCCAGCTGTGTCTCCAGCTGTGGCAACTTCAGCACTATCAGCCTTAGTTTTCCAACCCATGAATGGGGTAATGATTTCGCAGGGCTGTGGTGAACACGACGTGAGGGGTTGTTCCTGCCCCTAGGGACAGGGTCCCAGGTGTGGAGAAATAGCCAGGTTATTGCAAAGCGATTGATTCTAATGGGTATGTCCTGGGAGTCCCCAAGGGCAGGTGGCCCGAGGAAGCTCTAGGCACCATTTGGGGTCAGGAGAGAGGTGGAGGGAGCGGCCTGGGGAAAGACTGAGAGTCAGGCGACACAGGATGTGGCAGCATGTGGGGCCTGCCTCTGCAATTTCACTTTGCAGGATTCTGGCTGGCAGTTCTCGGAGTCAGAGACCCCACTGTGTTCAGTGCCCTGGGCTCTGTGGGAGGCTCCACAAAGGCTCAATTAGGGCCTGTTCCCTCCTGTGGTGGCTGCCCGCCTGCAGGAAGAGCTGCTGGCAGCTGGCCAGCCTCCCTGCGCATGCCCACCCAGCGAGCCAGGCAGACAAAGAGGGGATGGAGGAGAGCCTGGGGATGGGAAACCAGGCTGCCGCTGGCCTCCCCGAACCCCTCACCCAGGGAGGCTGAGGCTGCTGCTGCTGGGGGGATGGGATCTCCCTCCCCCTCCCTCTGGAGCTAACCTCCAAAGGCCCCCAGGCTCCATGGCCACCAGGTCTGGTTCCTCCCAGACCACTCTGCAGTGTTTGCCTGCTGACCACCCTCTGCTGTTGGAAGTCCTGGTTTGCATCCCATCTCTGACCGCTCCTCCTCTGCCACCCAGGTTTCTCGGGACACATCCAGGCCAGCTCCTTCCCATCTCTCCCTCATCTTTATCTAATGCTTACTGTTCTGAGGCTGGCTCCAAAGTCCATAGGGATGGCTGGGCCGGGCCTGGTGCAGGATCACTTTTCCAACTCTCTCTCCAACACATCCCTCCAACTCATTCAGTCCCCMAGTCAACTCCAGTCTTTGCCAACAAGCTCACTGCCAGTGGTCCTTCTCAAGTGCAAGCTGGGTCACAGCCCATACTGGGTTTAAGGACCTTCCCTGGCTTTGGATGACAGCAAAATGCTAAATATCTTAGCCTGGCATCCAAAAGCTCCTGTCAAGTTGCTCCCAGCTGACCTCCCTAACATAGCTGCGCGGCACTTCCGCATGCCTAGAACGACCCCTCCCAATCCATTATTCATTTGGCAAATTCCGACTCACCCTATAAAACCCAGCTTGAAAGCTACCCACTGAGAGACCTTCTTTAAACTTTTCAGGGAGTTAGATATTCCCAGAGCCTTTTAGAAACTCTCTTAATACATTGTCCTCCACATTGTCTCCCCAACTTGTGCATGAACCCCTCCGGGGTAGGAATGGCATTTTTCTTTTTCTTTTAGTTGCCAATGGGCATTTATTTTATTTATTTSTRTGTGGTGCTGAGAATCAAACCYAGTGCCTCCCGCGTGCTAAGCAAGCGCKCTACCACTGAGCCCCAGCCCCAGCCCCCAGGGCATTTTTCTCAGCCCTTTGCCCACCCCAGGGCCTGGCACGAGGCTGGAAGTCAGGGGCTACTTGAGGCTGAAGGAGAAAGGGCCATGATCATGATCACTTCACACAGCTGGGCAGAGACTCCATTTTCTTTCCAGAATGGGGATCCAGTGTCCCCAGGATAAAGAGAATACATAGAAAAAGAGGTGGAGGCAGGGAAAGACCAGTTCAGAAGTGGCACATCAGACTGACAGCCACCCCAGGAGCCCTGAGCAGGTCCCCTAGGGTCCTCCCAATCTATCCACTTGACTTTCACAAAGCCCTAGGCCTGCAGAAGGCACCCCAGAGACCTCCCAGCATGAGGCTGGAATGTGCATGGGGCTCTGCAGAACTGGGCAGTAAGTGCCCTGTTGGCCACTTACTAGCTTGTATGGCCTCAGGCTGGTCCCTCAACCTCTCTGTGCCTCAGTGACCTCACTGATAAAATTGGGATTAAAAAACATCTACTTCCAAAGTCCCCCTCCCTCCCACTGCTTTTTCTACAAATACAGTTTGTATGTCAGACACTGTGCTAGGTTTTGGCAAGTCCTGCTGGGATGGAGGTGACATTCTGTGGGCTTTGGTAAGACACTGAAGCAGAAGCACAGTTCTCAGCATGGAGGAATGTTCAGCCTGCTTTCGTCCTTGGCTGGGAAAGCYGCTCCCATCCCTGGTCCGCCATGCCCCCCTGGAACACACAGGGGCTTGGGGGAGCTGTGGCCCTTTTAGAAAAACACCCTTCCAAGAATGTATCACCCTCAGGGTCAACCAAGGAAAACACAGAACCCGAGGAGGGAGATCAGACAGGCCCCAGCTGGGTCACTGGAGGGGCGGGCGCCATAGGAAAGCAAAAGTCAGGCACCAGGTGAAATATGACCTCCAAGTCTCCATAGGCATTTCTTGTATAAATACCCCAGTCCAGACAGGAAGCAGGGCTGGGGGAACTGGAGGGGGAGGTGGCCCCACAGGACCCCTTAGAGGCATACAGATGGACAGGAAAGCAGGGGAGGAAGAGGTCAGTGAAGAAAAACAATAATGGGGGAGAAGAGAGGASAAAACCGCTGGTCGGGAGAAATGGACCCTCGAATTCCCTCTCATCCAGAGAGGCTCTGAGTTGCTTCTCAGCGTAGGGTACAGAATTACCAGAGAGCTGGGGAAACTGAGGCTGCAAGAAGCAAGGAGGCTATAGTTCTCTGACTGTTTTTCATCTCTTTCCCACTAAGGGGCTATACCCAGAGGCATTCTGGAATGTTCTCTGAAGAAATATGTGTCATGACCCTCCTGAGACCCCACAGTGGGTTGGTGGCTATGCTGGGGCACAGATGTGTTTCTAAGGGCCTCTGTAAGCCCTGGGCTGAATTCTGGAGGCTCAGGGCATTCCCAAGGTTCCTTTCTGCCCCTAGATTTCATGTAGAGTCACTTGGTAAGGGAGGGAGGACTTCTAGTCTTGAAGTTCTGAATGGAGCCCCGCAAGATCCTCGCTGTATGGATAGGAAAAGTACAATTGACCCAAAGTCAGTGGTGGGACCAGAACCCACATTCTTCCTCTCAGGTCAAGGGAAAACTCCCCGCATCCCCAGCGCCGTAGCCAGACTGCAGGGTTTTGTACGACCTTTTTGTGTCCACATCTCTATGGCCTGAGAGCAAGAGGGGAAATGACACCAGGGCTGGCTGTGAGGGGAGGAAGAGATCAGTGAAGAAAAACAATAATGGGGGGGAAAAGAGGAGAATACYGCTAGCTGAGAGAAATGGACCCTCGCATTCCCTCTCATCCTGAGCTCAGGGTGGCTTCCTTGGGCCATGGGCATGTTTAATAAGGGCGGAACAAAAGGAGRCTGGGTACATTTTTCTAGCCCTTCAGGATTCTGGAGGTTTCCGAAGGTCTCTATCTCACCYGCAACTTCCATCCACATTGGAAAGGGAGAAAGGGCCCAGCTCAGTCCCCTTGTTGTCTGGGGGTGGGTTCCTTGCTCCTAGTCCCCATCAATTCACTTTTACAGAAACCTCCCCCTCTTCCCTGAGGCTGCCTTTTACACCAGGTTCTGCCCCCCCAAGCCCCAGAGTGGACGGAGGCTCCGCCCCTTCCCTGAGATGACCCCGCCCCTCTAAGCCCCGCCCCCACACCCAGCTGGCTCACCTTAGTCTCCGCCAGCTGTCGCTTAAGCAGCTGTAGGGCCTCCGTGTGCTCCCGCTCGCTGTCCTGAAGGGCCTGAAGCTGCTCTTTCAGCTCCCTCTGAAACACACACAGGACCGGCTTGGGGGCTTGGGKGACACGTGCCCAGGGTATTCAGCGGTGATGGATGGTCCAGCCCTCCTAGACGCCAGGGCATTACCCTGGCTTTGTGCCCCGCTTCTGGTCAACATTCATGTGGATTGCTGTGTTTTCTTGGCACCAGAGTCAATTACATTTCMACCACCAAGTCCTGTAGGGTCTGTATCTTAAATGTCTCCAGAATCTGTTCCCACCTTTCACCTTTCACCAGGAGTTTTGCAAAAGCCACACACACACATATCCCCACTCTGCCCCTCCTGAGCTGCTGCTTCTGGGAGTAGACCTTTGGTGGCAGCAAGGCTTTGGGAAGCAAGGAGGGAAACCGGATAACTATCCACATTGAGCGCTCTCAGCTTGGGCTAGACACTTCTGTCGGCACTTGGCTTATTATTAATTCATTGGAGCTTCTGGGTAACCCTAAGCTAGGCACTATGATTCTACTTTTAGATGAAGAAAAAGGCACAAAGAGGCCAAGAAACGGGCCACAAAGCATACCAAGCATGTAAGGGTAAGGTCAGAATGAGAACTAGACATCTGGTTCTGGAGACCATGATCTTGAAGCCAAGTGACATGTTTGCAACAGTGGTAACACCCAAGATAATTAAGAACAAATTTACGCTAGACAATACATCACCATTTGAAATAAAAACATGATCAGGATTACTTATATTTCCTTTGTCTCAAGTTCCAGTGTAGCTTAGCAAGGAATGGCTAATGAATGTTGGCCTTGTTTAAAATTTTGATATTTTGCTCATTATGAATTTTTGCATTAATTTTGATTGAAGAAATATTGCAGTACTGCATTGCCTATTATTCATGTGTATTGCTGTGTTTTTTGGCACCAGAGTCAATCCTGTGCCTCCCTCCCCTGACCCTGGCCCCAGCTGTCTCCATCATCCAACCCTAGACTCTCCTCTGGCCACAGTGAGCTTGGCCCTGCTCCTCCAGCACCTTGCACTCCCTCCAACTTAAAAACACTGCATTTGCTGCTTCCTCTGGCTGTCCCTCCACCATAAGGGTTTCTCACAGTGACTCCTTTGTATCATTGACTTATCAATTTCGTTGCCATCTCTGGGGGATCACCCCAGGGACAGTGGCATCTGCTTACACCTCTGTCACATCCCCAGCTCCAGGGTCTTCACCGTACCTCCCACTGCCTGGAATGGCCTTGCTTGTTGACTCACCTGCGTGTTTCCTTCAATGTAATGGGAGTTCCATGAGGGCAGGAATCTTAACTGGCTTGATTGCTGCTCTATCCTAGTGCCCAGAACAATTCCTAGCAGGGGCCTCAATCAGTATTTGCCAGATAAAGATTGGGATGATAGATGCTCCCCAGCATAGGGTCTAGCTGGCTGTACTTATTTATTTTTGGTGCTGGGGATTGAACCCAGGGGTGCTTTACCACTGAGCTACATCCTCAGTCCTTTTTATTTTTGAGACAGGATCTCACGAAGTTAATGAGGCCTGGCCTCAAACTTACAATCCTCCTGCCTCAGCCTCCTGAGTTGCTGGAATTACAGGCATGCACCACTGTACCTGGATGTCTGCACTAATTTGAGCCCCTAGCCATTGTATCATAGCCAGTTTTCTTCCTATCTGTCCCAGCTTCCTCCCCATATTAGCCTGTGAGTCCTCCAGGGCAGGCGCTTGATGCTTCCTTTCCCTGTGGCCTGTACCCAGCAGCCTGTACCCAACGGCCTGGCATTGAACTGGGGCTCAAGAAAGTTTGCTGTGTGAATGAATTTCCATGGAAACAGCCTCTGAGCAGGCCCTGCGGTCCCTGACCAGCTTGGGCTGAGAGGTACCAGGGAGGCTGATCTACCAGTTCATATTCATCTCCCGCTCAGTCATGTCGTCAGAGCAGGGAGGATCCTCAGCAAACATCTGGTTCAACTAATTTTWCAGACTGGGTAGCAACCTGGGAGAAAGGCCATTACATGTGAAGGGAAGAATGTGAAAAACAAAATTATCTTTGCTTACTATTGCTTATTCATTTAACAACTATTTATTGACAGAACAAGGCATAGGCAGTCCTTGCCCACAGGGATCTTTCAGTGTGGTGAAGAAGACAATAAGCAGGAAGAATAATTTAAAAATCAAGATAATTACTAATTTGGTCTGTGCGCTAGAGAAAATAAAGAAGTGTAGGGTAGGGAGGAGAATTTAGCAAAGTTGGTCAGGGAAGGTTTTCAAAGGAGGTAACATGAGAGGTGACATTGCAGGATGAGGAGAGTCTACTCATGAAAACAGGAGTAAGAGAGAAAAATGGGAGCAGCATGTTTTGTGACCAAAGAGAGCTTAATGGCTGGATAGACACAATGGCTGGAACTCTAGCAGCCATCTCAGGCCATGAGGCACAAAGGTAAAGACAGAAGTCACAAGATGAAACTAGAAGAGTAGAAGAAAGACAGGACAGGCATGGTGGTGTATACCTGGAATCTCAGCAACTCAGGATGCTAAGCCAGGAAGACTGCAAAAGGGAGGGGCTCATCTTAGCAACTTAGACACCCTGTCTCAAAATTAAAAAAATTAAAAAGTCTTGGTGATGTATTTCAGAGGTGGCAGAGAGTCCCCGGGTTAGCTCCCCAATACCAAAAAAAAAGGAAAAAAAAAAAAAAAAAGAAAAGGCAGAAGTGTGGGTCCCTGTCCCTGAAGACTAGCCACACCATCACTAGACTACGTGATTTTTAGGACGGAAGAAAAGAGAAAAAGAAAGAAAGATCAAAAAAGCTCCACTAAGGTTTGCCAACTTCCATGGTGTAGATGCTCCCACCAGAGTGGATCTCAAGCTGTTGCTGTTGAGGTCACTGGCCGTGGAGTTGGGAAGAGATGGCACAGTCAGCTCTCAGGAGCAAGCGTGGCCACTGCCAGCGTGCCGCTGTCCTGAGTCTCTTCCTACGGAGTGTTTTAGGGARGGGATGCTGAAAGGCATCCTCATGGACTCGCATTCGATCCGAGGGCTCCCCAGGCCCTCTCTGATGGCCTTGGGTTTATCCAGCTTGGGACACAGGCTGGCCGAGAGGCAGATGTTGGAGGAGATGGGCCCAGTGCTACAGTTCTCYCCCGGGGCGTCCCCATGGGCCCAGGTCAGACCCAGCCGCCCAAGCAGTTCTTCTGTGTTTCTGAGAAGGGACACTGGAGGCCACGTTCCTCCCACTGCTCAGGATCTGAGGGACRTGGACAGATTTCTCCTTGATTTTGGAGAATGAGGAGAGCTGGCCTTCCTCCTGGACCGCAGGAGCAAGAGAACCCTCATCGACCCATTCCATGTCCTGGGCCTCACATGCTGCTGTGTCTGRGATGGGGAGAGGGACGAGGGGCAAGTCCCAACCCATGAGACATACAGGAGTCAGGGAGACAGACAGGGACACAGACACATCACGGTGAAYGTGGGACAGAGTTGAGAATCCGAGACCTGCTCTTCCTTGCTGAGGAGACATGCTTCCCCTCCCAGGGAGGGAATTTCTACRTTGTCAGGGAAGAAGGGAACAAGGCCTTAGGGCAGCGTTCAAGGCCCTTCACCTCGGGCTCCACTTTTCTCCAGTCTGATCTCTTGGTCCAGATCTGTGGTGTCCAATATGGTAGCCATGAGCCCCATGTGGCTATTTAAATGGCAATTAATTAAAATGAAACACCAGAAAGTTCATTTCCTTGGTCGCACCAGCCTCATTTCAAGTGCTCAATAGCTGCCTGGGCCGAGCGGTACTGCATTGGACAATGAAGATGCAGAACTTTCCAGTATTCCAGAAAGTTCTATCGGAGAGCACCAAGCGTCTTGCAGCAATGGTCTTATCTAGGCCTCTGCGTGCGCTGTACCCGCTGTCCAGAATGCTCACGCACTCTTGTTTTTCCCCACTGTGGGACACACTGTCGTCAGACACACCTCTGGGTGCACATTTGTGGCCCACAATTCATGTTAATGCAAGTTGACCTGTTCATCTTCCCTACCCAATTGCTGGCTCCTGAGGGATCCGGCCAGAGAGGTTGTCACACTCTCAGTACCTAGGACAGAGGCAGGTACAGACCAGCCTCAGGCTTCTGCAGGATGAACTGCCCAGGGAGGRGGCTGGCCTGGGTCTGAGCTCCCTCCAGAAAGGGTGGGAGGGGAGAGAGGCCGAGGGCAGGTAGCTCTCCCCAGGCGGGCCAGGTTCGGAGCCCGAGGGAGCCGCCCACTTGGGAAAACCAAACCCTAGAGCCCAGGGGAGGCTGGCTGAGCTCTGTCCCACCTCACCCCGGGGACCTTCTTCCAGGCAGACCTGGGTTGAAAGCTGGCTCTACCAAGCCCCTCACCAGCCGTGTCCCTGGATGTCAGGGAACCTTTCAGTGCCCCCGGTTCTCACCTGTCACCTGGGAATGGGGATATCTTCTAGGGCTGGAAATGAGGAAAGAGGAACCAATGTTCAGCCTTCCAGGGTGCGGAGCCTGGCAGCGCCCAGTGCATGGGGGATGGAGTAGTCACTGCCCCATACGAGGCCTCCGGTCATGCCTTCATGTCCTCACCCAGAGCTGTGTCCAGTGGCCCCTCCCTGCCTCCTCAGATGGCAAGAGCAGGAAGGGGCTGGAGGGACCATCTGGCCCAACCCCTACAATTGCCAGAACAGGAAACAGAAGTCCARGGAGAGGGACTGACTGACTGGCCCCCAGCCACCTAGTTCTAGAGTGGGAGAGTCAACCGGAAAGTCTCCTCCCAGTAGAGAGGTCAGTCAGGAAGTAGGAACCTGCTGATAAAYTCCTACATAACAAAGCCAACCCAGGGCAAGAACACTGAGACCATGACCACAGAAGACACTCAGGACCAGAGGTGCTGGAGTGGCTCAGGGTTTGGGTTTGAATTTCCTAGGCATCTCATCATCTARTTCTCATAACAATCCACAAGGTTGKTGCATTTATCRCCTCCATCTCATAGAAGTAGAAATTGAGGATCAGAGAAGTTAGGCAGTTTGCTTAAGGTCACACAGCTA